CACACATTAAAAAAAAAAACACATTTATTATTTTGTAGTCCAGGCATGGCCTAGCTGGGTACTCAGGATCTCACAAAGCTGAAGTCAAGGCATTGGCCATGCTGCACTCCTTTCTGGGAGTCAGGCCTTTTCCAAACTCACACAGTTGCTGAAAGATTCAATTTCTTTCTTTTTGTTTTTTTATAAATTCATTTTTTATTGGTGTTCAAAAGATTCAATTTCTTGCAGTTGCCTACAACTGCAAGGTCCCCCCCCTCCTTTTTTTTTTTTTTTTTGCTGGTGGTCACGTAGGGGCTGGTGGTCACGCAGGTCACTCTCAGCTCCTAGAGGTTGCAGGCAGTTCCTGGCCATGCAGCCTTTTTTAGAATATGACAGCTTATGTCCTCAAAGCCATCAGAAGAATCTCTGTCTGCTAAGATGGAATCTTAGATAATGTAACATAATGACAGGAGTGACTATCAAATCACCTTTGTCATATTCCATTGGCTAAAAAGAAATCTTAGGTTTTATTCATACTCATGGGGAGGGGATCATACAAGGGCATGATTCACTGTTAGTCATCTGCAGGTGGATCTGCCACACCAGCTTTTATATTTGTAATATCTCAAGTTGGAAATAACTCAAATGCTCATCAACAGGTGAATGGATAAGCAAATTGTGGTATATTTGTACGGTGGAATACACGGCAATAAAGATAAATGAATGATATATACAAAACATGAATCAGTCTCAAAATAATGCTGAGTGAAAGAAACTGGGCAAAACCAAGTATTTACAGCATGATGCCATTTACATAAAAATGTAAAAAATTCACAATAATCTATAATGACAGAGAGCATATCAGTGATTGCCTGGGAATGAGAAGTGAAGGCAGGAAGTGCCACAAAGAGGTATAAGAAAACTTTGAGGAGTGGCAGATTGGTTCACATTCTTAATATTAGTGATAATTACATGAGTGTCAGAACTTACCAAATTGTACCCTTTAAATGTTTCAATTTACTGTATGTCAATCATACCTCACTAAGCCTGTTTTTAAAAAGCTAGCATCTTCTTCCAGAATCAACTCTTTCAAGATATTCCTGCTTGTTAATAAAAGCTTCCCTTTTTATTAATTTTGAATCGATGTGCAAATTTTTCAAGTTTATTTTTTAACAGCAGATTCTATGACAGTAATACAGGAGCGTTTTTTAATTCAGAATTTTAATTATGTACATAAATAGCAACATAAGAACCAGGAGTTCTAATGCTGGACATTATATCTCTAGGTGAAAGGATTTCCGATTAGTCCACTGGTAGTATGGTATCACCCAAGATAACAAAGAAGCCTGGTATAGTTTTTCCTGAAGAAGAAAGCCAATTTACTACATTCAGTACTGACTTCTCTGCCATTTTTCTGTAGAAAATGCATGGATTTTCCAATGTTCACCTATAACTGATTAAAATGGGCAGAGCATGGAGCATTCTACTTATTTCCAGGTGAATTCTTCACATTTCCTGGTTTTTGAAAGTTCTCCTTCCATATATCTTCTATGACTATGTATTACAGGAACATTTGTATAAGGTGGAGAAATTGTAGGAACTGTTGGTATGTGAGTCCTACATTATGAAATATCTCTAAGATGTAGTCTGATTGGATTAAAACTTTTAAGGTTTTGTGGAAGAGTCTGATGGGCAAACAGAAAATTTCAATATAATATAACTGCATATACATATACACATATGAAGAGAGAGGAAGAGAGAGAGAGAGGCTGAGACTTAGCTCACCCTGGGGTGAGTCTGTGGCACACAGAGAAGGTTTTGTGGAAATCATGAATAGAGTTTTAGGAGATGAATAGGAGTTTGCCAAGTGAGGAAGGGAAAAGGCATTCCAGACAGAGAAAGTGGCAAAGGCCAAGGTAACATGTGGAGAGGTAAACGGAGTTTGGTTAACATTAGACACAATGTGGGAAGTTGTGGTGGATGCGGTTGGAGAGTGTGAGTGAGGGCTGACATGAAGGGCATGATGACCTGGACATTATCTATTAGGCAGAGATTCTCTGAAGAATTTTAGGAAAGTGAATGATATCATTAAAGAAAAGCATAATCCCATCTGTTGATTAAAAGGGCTTCATAATACAAAGTAATGGTATGAACAGGAATGAGAAGATGGATTTGAGACATCTAAAAGGTAATATTGCAAGTCTTCTGGTCATAAGACCATAAGACCTTCTGGTGATCAACTGGTCATAAGTGAAGGAGAGAAGTCTATAGCAATCCCCAAGTTTTTATCTTGTGATCATTTCATCAACTGAAAAAGAAACACACAGGCAGAAGGTGGAAGCGGAGAAATGAGTTTAAACCAGGCATGTTGGGCGGACCATGTGCCCTGGGCGGCAGGCAGCTGGTTCATGGTCCCAGGGCAGCTGCGGCCCGCTCATAAAAAAAATAATAATAAAATAAATAAACCAGGCATGTTGAGTTTCAGATGCATGGGGGACATGGAAGTGAAGATGCTTTTTAAGGCAGGGAGATAAAAGGTCCAAGGATGACAATATGTGTGGGAGGTAAAACTCTGACAGTGGCAACATTTTCCAAGAAAAATATGTAGAGAAAAGCATTGAGCTGGAACCCCAAAGAGCCTTTTACCAAGGGTCAGAGGTGGAAGGGAAATTCCTATTGAGGACCCAGAATGAATGGCCAGAGGTATAGTAAAGCTAAGTAAACAAACTATCCTGTTCTGCTGATGAATGTCTCTATTTCAAAAATTTGTTCCCTACCCCTCCTTCACCCCTCACCCACTTTTACCCTCAGGTCTTCTGGTTGCAGGAAAAGAAAGCAACAAACTTTTTTGTCCTGAAAGAAAAGGATTAAATGGAAAGAATAAAATACAATATATGAAGCTGATCTCAAGGAAATATTTTTAGTTGACTGTCATGGTCCTTTTGGGTTTAATTTCTTGGTGATTGCTATATATCTGTTGACAATCTACATGTTTGTCCTCCTATAAAACCATGAGACAAGGGTCAGAGGCCCAGCCTCCATCAGTATGACTATCAGCAAAATGCATCTTTTGACTACATTCTATAATTTCACTGAGTTATGGGATGGGCCATTCACAATGGCACTTTTTATTGGGTATAAAAATAACTCTAATTGTTATCAAGTTGGATGGGATCATGAAGCTCTTCACTGTATTTTGGCATTGACAAAAGGAGGGGGAAATCCGAAATAGCTTCTAGAATTTTGTGGTTGTGGCTGGGGAGGATAATAAAAATGTCAGGCACTACGATCACTTAGGGCCTTATTGTCTGAACGACGACAGGCAGACTTGAAAACATCTAGTTAGCCAGGGTAGCCCAGACACATATAACAACTTCTTTCTTTTTCACAGGAAGCAAAATCCGTTTCCTTAGAAATGAGGGCGAGATCTATTTAACAACTAGGTCCAGGGTCAGGCATCTATGTCTCTATATGGATACACATATTCATATGTCTACACATTGTATGGTGTTTGTGGGAAGAGGTGTGTGTGTATAGGTAGGTGGGCATCAAAACTAGCCTCTTCAAAGGTGAAGCAACAAACATTAAGAAAGAGAGACGGAAGTGATCAATAATATTGACTATAGCTTAGGGGTCCTGTAAGATAAGACTGCTATTGCGTTTTCACAATACAGAAGTCTCTGGTGATCCTAGTGAATTTTAAACAAGGAATATAAGCAGAAGATAGATTTTATCATCTGGAATGCAAATGTGAAGTGAACCAAAGAAATAAAGACGGCAAATGAGGGAAGTGGCGGCGGGGGGCGGCGCCATGGCTGAGGGTTCCGCAGGGAGAGGTACCTGAGGCGGGTTTGTCCCCGCGCGGCGGCTCCCCAAGCCGGGCTGAGGGCTGAGGGCTGAGGGCTGAGGGCTGGGGCCGTCTCCGTCCCGGCGAATGTAAGAACCGACGACGGTGAGCCGGAGAGCGCGGCGAACGAGGGCAACACGGGCCCGGTAGCCAGTGTGGCCGGCTCTCCACACGCGCTGGCGGCCGCGGCGGCCTGGTCTCTCCCGAGCGCCCTCAGCCGGACGACCCCGGCCCCGCGCGTCGTCGGCCTCTTCTCCCTCACGCGTTAACGGAGGAGCCGGAGCCTCAGCCGCTGGAAAGCGACGCCCCCCCTGGTTCGTGGGACAGCTTCCCGGGAGTGCGATCAGACTCAGGCCGCAGGGCTTGGCTCCAAATGTCCCCCCTCCCCCAAAGCGAGTCTCGGATCCTTGGGCGACGGTGACCCCACTTGACCGCCTGTCGCCACCTCGGGAAGCTCTCACGGTTAAGTCGCCCCTTGTCGCGGCACCGAACACCGATGAGCGTTTTCTCCTAAGGTTTCTCAGTCAATGCTTGGGCCTGTCCTTTTTTAAAACCAAAGCGGTTTCTTTTTTTTTTTTTTCTTTTTTTGATTTTTGTTTATTTATGATAGTCACAGAGAGAGAGAGAGGCAGAGACACAGGCAGAGGGAGAAGCAGGCTCCATGCACCGGGAGCCCGACGTGGGATTCGATCCCGGGTCTCCAGGATCGCGCCCTGGGCCAAAGGCAGGCGCCAAACCGCTGCGCCACCCAGGGATCCCCCCCAGAGCGGTTTCTAATAGTTGACTCGTGGTTCGGTGCGTGAGAGTCCTGGCCGCTGAACGTCAGCCGTCTGAAGGTAGGGACTGCGTCTTGGTCTTTGTGACCGACCTCTTGTGTGGTGGGCCAGGTTTTGTGTCGAGTCAGCGTCTGAACTGTTTGGTCAAAGAACTGTTCTAGAACCACTAACCCAGCGTCTTAAAAAACTGTTCTAAAACCACTAACGGAATCTCCTTTCTCCTGCAAAAGGGCCCAATGCTGCCTGAGAAATCCAATCAGGATTAATACAATCCTGAGAAACTGCATCTGAAAAAAAACTCTGCCTATGTATGTCTGCAATATCCGCTTGGATCCCTCGGGTTATTCGGGGATGGAGAGTCTTCAACACTGTTAACAGTAATGCCCTCAGTTGAGGAGATGGCTTCTTTGCAAAGAAAAGGGCTGCAGGCAAGGATTCTCAGCTCTGAAGAAGAGGAGAAATTGAAAAGAGATCAAGCTTTGGTGTCCGATTTTAAGCAGCAAAAACTGGAAAAAGAGGCTCAGAAGAACTGGGACCTTTTTTACAAAAGAAATAGTACTAACTTCTTCAAAGATAGACACTGGACCACCCGAGAGTTTGAGGATCTCAGATCATGTAGAGAATTTGAAGATCAAAAATTGACTATACTTGAAGCTGGCTGCGGTGTTGGGAACTGTTTATTCCCATTTTTGGAAGATCAGAATATCTTTGCTTATGCCTGTGATTTTTTTCCAAGAGCAGTTGAATATGTCAAGCAAAATCCTTTATATGACTCAGAAAGACACAAGGTGTTCCAGTGTGATCTAACCAAAGATGACCTTCTGGAACATGTGCCCCCAGAATCTATGGATGTTGTCATGTTGATATTTGTACTCTCTGCTGTTCACCCTTGATAAGATGCACCTTGTCTTACAAAATATTTACCAGGTATTGAAACCAGGCAAAAGTGTCTTGTTTCATGACTATGGGCTGTATGATCACACCATGCTTAGGTTTAAAGCTGGCAGCAAACTTGGGGAAAACTTTTATGCTAGACAAGATAGAACAAGATCATATTTTTTTACTGATGAATTCCTGACTCCGCTCTTTACGGACACAGATTACGAAGACGTGGTGAATGAGGGCAGCCCGGGTGGCTCAGTGGTTTAGCAACACCTTTGGCCCAGGGCCTGATCCTGGACACCCTGGATCGAGTCCCATGTCAGGCTCTCTGCATGGAGCCTGCTTCTCCCTCTGCCTGTGTCTCTGCCTGCCTCTCTCTCTCTCTCATGAATAAATAAAATCTTAAAAAAAAAAAAAAAAAGAAGTGGTGAATGAGTATGTGTTTTGTGAGATGGTGAACAAAAAAGAAGGCCTGTATGTGCTAAGGGATTTTCCTTCAGAGCAAATTCCGAAAGTGTCCTAAGAACCCAACTCCATGACCATGGGCTGGACCACAAATTGTGACCTTTCATGAGGTTGACATTTGTGCCTCTGCTTGAAGAGGAAAGTTTAAAGCCACTATTTTGTATATTTTTATATCTCAACTTTTAAAATGAGTATATATAATTTTTATATTAAAAAATAGCAAGTGAAAAAAAACGATGGCAAACGATAGACTATTGCCAGTAAACGTAACTGAGAAAATATAATATAGCGTTTGTTTTTGTTTTTTAAAGATTTTATTTTTCTGTACACCCAATTTGGGGCTTAAACTTACAACCCTGAGGTCAAGAGTCCCATACTCCACCAATTAAGCGAGCCAGATTTCCCTGAATAACATAGTACTGAGGGAAGTAGGAAGTATAGGGTCAAAGGTGGAGACGTATTTTAAAATAGGAGAGACCTGAGTACAGTTGCAGATTGAGGCAATGCAGCAAAAAGAGAGGGAGAGGGGGATCCCTGGGTGGCGCAGCGGTTTGGCGCCTGCCTTTGGCCCAGGGCGCTATCCTGGAGACCCGGGATCAAATCCCACGTCGGGCTCCCGGTGCATGGAGCCTGCTTCTGTCTCTGCCTCTCTCTCTCTCTCTCTCTGTGACTATCATAAATAAAATTCAAAAAAAAAGAGAGGGAGAAAATAAAGATACGAGAACATGAGGGGATAAGGTCAGAGAGGAAACAATGTGTTTTCTTGGGAGAAAACAGAAGAGGAACACTGAGGTGGATGGATGACATCTCATCCCTTAAATATGGAGGAAACATGACACTAAACCAGGCAGATGTAGATAACTGTAAAGATCCTTCTTCTCCTTGGTTAATGTCCAGCCTCTGAAGCTCCTTAGTGCTCTCCTCCTATCCTAGCCTCTTTCCGACTCATTTCCTGCCCCTCCTGCAAAAACTTGCATCCCATAGCCTAACAACTGTGGGTGTAATACCAGTGATTGAAATGCCACAATGAATACCCCTAATTTGGTTAACTTATCTTCAAACAATGAAATAGAGCTCAAAAAATTCAAAGAAACATTCACTGATTTGTACTTATATTTCTAATTTGTACTTAAAGTGAAAGCATGAGACCAACTTGAAAAAAATGGAATCCAAGTTCCAAAGTTGCTGTAACAAGTTGAGCTGTGGTTGAGGCTGTTTATTTTTTAAATCCTGGAGAATCAGTCTTAATCTTCTAAAATGTTTGTATTAAGAGTGTTGGTCCAGGTGACCAGGTCTTCCACTTCTTCTTCCCATGACTCACTCTCATTACCACCATCTGGTAAAGCTACACTCTTCCACCTCTCCTTTGTTCTACCAGTCTTCATGACACTATCCATTTCAGTTTGTGTATCAGCAAAATTTTCAACTGTAAGAGGAAATATAAAAGAAATTAACAGACATGGCAGGGAACACAATAAAAAAAGATGCATTCCTGCATTTATACTAGTGCCTAAGATTGTGTAGTGAATGCAAGCAACCTTTACAACTCTCTAAATTGCACATTTTGCAATTAATTTGTCATAAATCATTCTTTCCATTATGGTCTTTTTATGCTTTGTTAGTTCATTCATTTAACGTGTATTTACTGAGTCCCCACTAAGTGCCAGTAAGCATATGAGGGAAACAGTGTCTGTGAGTGCTTCAGCAGCACAAGAGTGGAATCGTTGGGTCTAAGTGAAAACAGGCTTAGATTTTGACAAAGGAGGGGCAGTTTGCTGAACAGAGAAGGGTAAAGAGGGAAGGTATGAGCAGTCTACACTAAGGACACAGCATCTACTAAGGCACAAAGGTAGAAGGGGACTTGACAGATTTGGAAGTAATCGGAGTTGACACATCAGCATTTATGCTGTGCCAGCTGCTGTGCTATTTGGATAATATTATTTAACCTAGATATGATCCTTGTGACAGGCAGGTATTGCTATCCTTATTTTACAGATGAGGGAAATTGAGACCAAGCAACCTACAGTAACTTGTCCAAGGACATTTAGCTACTAAGAATTCATCACAGTTTCATCAGATCCCAAATCCCTGTGTTAAACTGGAGGGTTTGGTGGGGTTGGCTAGTTAAACTGAGGCAGGATTAAGGAAGCCTCCTATATCATACAAAGAAGATTCATCTTTTTTCTATAGGTCTTGTAAACAGGGAAATAAACTAATTATATTTTAAGGGGAGAATATAGATACCATATCCATATTGCTCAATATTTCTTCTCAACATGGGGAACTTGTTTTCTAGGAATGTTTAACCTTAATTGATGCTATTTGTTTTGCTACCTCAATGACCTTGTTGCATTTTCCTCCCTTCTGCACAATTACCACCGAATTCATTGTATACTAAGGGATCCAGGACAAATTCTGTTGTCTCATGCATTCATTTCCCTAATTACCTATCAAATAAACCTTATAATATTCATTGCCTTCTAGTCATGCTATGGACAAGGGTGATCAGTGAATTGTTCTCCTGGTCTCTTTGTTTTATAGATAGATTTATAGAGAGCTATGAGCTTAGACAATTGCCATTATCCTGGCAGAATCTTGAGGTCTCCAATGATTGAATTTTTAGTTTTCTATTTTAATATTAATTTCTAGCTTTCATTAACTTAAATGTAAATTCTGTCTTTCCCTTGAGAAAATCTACTTTATTTTCTATGAACACATCATTGATCAACTAATTCCAGCTCTTTCTAACCATGTGTAGGCTGTTCTGAATTTACATGTTTTTGGGTACAAGAGATGCAGAGCCCAATTCACACCAGTTTAAACAACAGGCAAATGTCTTATCTTACAGAAGAGGAAAGTCAGAGGTAGGGCAGGATTGAATGATCCAGTGACTCAACAATATCATGAAGGACCAGTTCTTTCCACTGCTCTGCTTTCCCATCTTTGGTGGTGTTCTCAACCTTAGAGTCACAGCAAGAGAGCTGCAGCTGTTCTAGTATCCACATCAGACATGGCAACATCCAGAGAGAAAAAAAGCAATTTTTCTCTTCAGAGTCTCATTTTTAAGAGTAGGAAAACCTTCTCCTGAAGCCTTTAGCATACTTCCTCTCAGGCAGAGTTGTGTCACATACTGCTCCTAAGCTAGTTCCTGGCAAGGGAAATGGGATTACCATGATGGGCTGACACCAGTTGTTGGCCAGGAATAAATGTTGAGAGTCAGTCACTTTGACCATTTGCCTTCTAGCTCCTGCTCTGTTAAAAAACAAAACCTAACACACACACACACACACACACACACACACACACACACACACAACCCTCCTCAGAACAATAAAAAGAAATTCTGGTTTGAGTAGCTGAGCATAATGTAAAACAAATATAAAAATGTTTCCTTATGACACAGAAAAAATATTATTTTGAACTTCCTTCTTCCAAAAAATTTTAAGTATTATAAATCCCTCCAAGAAACGTTGTATATACTGGTTGGAATCAATACAAAGGTGAGAGAACTCTGTTACTATGTTAACAAAATAACTTATAAAAGCATAAACACTAGTTGCCATATAGTTTGTATGCCTTTCTGGGGATGGATCCTGGAAACTCTGCTTATATATATATATTTTTTTTTAACCTGAAAATAATTTAATTGGTAAAGATATTAACATTTGTTCTGACTGATGAGCTCTGATTATTGCCAAATGATTTATTTCCATTCACTTCTGTGTCTGGGTTCAGGTAGGAAAACAGAGGCCCTATAGCTAATACAAGAATGAGGAGTTTAATATAGAAAATAGAGATTACACAGGTGTGGGTAGATGTGAGGGAGTGAAGGTCTGGAAGGCTATAGTTGGAAGACTGGAAAAGTAGTCACTACCTACTTTAGCCTGATGTGGGGAAACCAGGATTTCCTGGGGTAGTACAAGGAGATGTACACATCTCGCCACCCAAAATGGGACAAAAATTAAGAGTTGATGGAGATATCTGTGAATCCACCATATCTGTAAAGTAAGAGTTTGTGGAATTGCATGGAATTTCAGTCTAAGGAAACAATTTCTCAGGAATAAAGACCTCTTCTTTCCTCCCACCTCCTCAATGTCTGGTGAATTTTTCTCAGTAGCAAACTATGGTATGCTAAGCCCCTCTACAAAAGAGAAGCACAGAATTCATTCCTTTTTCAACAGTCATGCCTCCCTTTCATATGCTGTGTAAGTTCACTATTGCTACATGATAAAGAACCACAAAAAAAAAAAAAAAAAGAACCACAAAATCTCAGTGGCATACAACAATAAGCATTTGTTCAGATCACATGTCTGCAGATCTGCCAGAGATTGGCTTATCTGGGTTGGGAATAGCTGGGAAGGTTGTCTGGGGAAGGTCAGCTCTATGGCTCTAATCTTTCTCTGCGACCACACAGGCATGTTCTTGTGATGGTGGCAGAAGTGAAAAAGAGCAAGCCAAATTGCACAAACCCTTCCCAAACTCGGCATACCACACCCACCAATATTCTACTGATCAAAACAAGTCACATGGCAAAATTCAAAGTCAGGGGTCAAGAGAGTACATTTTGCCTATGGAAATGGAACAGGATAATGATTATTTATTTTAAAAAAAAGATTTATTGGGACAA